ATGAATCCCACCATATGGCATGCCTAAACAAAGAGTGTGTTAAAATTTCAAGCACCTATGATGAGTAGTTGCTGAGAAAACTGCGACCAAAATTTGTTATGTGTGGTACGGACAGACGCACGAATGAACAGGAAGTTGACATCGGATTAGTACAAAAATGAATCCCACCATATGGCATGCCTAAACAAAGAGTGTGTTAAAATTTCAAGCACCTGTGATGAGTAGTTGCTGAGAAAACCGCGACCAAAGTTTGTTATGTGTGGTACGGACAGACGCACGGATAAACAGGAAGTTGACATCGGATTTGTTCCAAAAATGAATCCCACCATATGGCATGCCTAAACAAAGATTGTGCTAAAATTTCAAGCATCTGCAATGAGTAATTGCTGAGAAAACTACGACTAAAATTTGTTATGTATGGTACGGACAGACGCATGGATAAACAGGAAGTTGACATCGGATTCGTACAAAAATGAATCCCACCATATGGCATGCCTAAACAAAGAGTGTGTTAAAATTTCAAGCACCTATGATGAGTAGTTGCTGAGAAAACTGCGACCAAAATTTGTTATGTGTGGTACGGACAGACGCACGAATGAACAGGAAGTTGACATCGGATTAGTACAAAAATGAATCCCACCATATGGCATGCCTAAACAAAGAGTGTGTTAAAATTTCAAGCACCTGTGATGAGTAGTTGCTGAGAAAACCGCGACCAAAGTTTGTTATGTGTGGTACGGACAGACGCACGGATAAACAGGAAGTTGACATCGGATTTGTTCCAAAAATGAATCCCACCATATGGCATGCCTAAACAAAGATTGTGCTAAAATTTCAAGCATCTGCAATGAGTAATTGCTGAGAAAACTACGACTAAAATTTGTTATGTATGGTACGGACAGACGCATGGATAAACAGGAAGTTGACATCGGGTTAGTACAAAAATGAATCCCACCATATGGCATGCCTAAACAAAGAGTGTGTTAAAATTTCAAGCACCTGTGATGAGTAGTTGCTGGGAAAACTGCGACCAAAGTTTGTTATGTGTGATACGGACAGACGCACGGATAAACAGGAAGTTGACATCGGATTCGTACAAAAATGAATCCCACCATATGGCATGCCTAAACAAAGATTGTGCTAAAATTTCAAGCATCTGCGATGAGTAGTTGCTGAGAAAAACTACGACCAAATTTTTTTATGTATGGTACGGACAAACGCACGGATAAACAGGAAGTTGACATCGAATTCGTACAAAAATGAATCCCACCATATGGCATGCCTAAACAAAGAGTGTGTTAAAATTTCAAGCACCTGTGATGAGTAGTTGCTGAGAAAACTGCGACCAAAGTTTGTTACGGACAGACAGACAGACAGACAGACAGACAGACAGACGGACAGACAGACAGACAGACACACAAGGGTAAAACAGTATACCCCCCTCTCCTTCGGAGCGGGGGTATAATAAATAACTCAAACTTCTTTGTAAAAGCTTAAAATATCTGACCACATATGGAGGGTTGTTCCTCGCTGTTGTCCCCGCAGTCATCGTCCCCGTCACACACCCAGCCCTGGGGGATACACTTATTGTTACCACACTTGTATTGCCAGTGTTCACACTGTCGATTTTCACAATTTTCCTCATCTGAGTTATCCCCACAATCGTCGTGGAGGTCACACACACTGAAGGCGTAGGTACAGTTCTTGTTCTTACACTGGAATTGGCCAGGGGCACAGTGATTGACAGCTATAGGGGAAAAAAGGCCCTTTAACAACTTTATTAGGAAAAGAAATGATTATAACAACCTCCAGCTAAGCTTTGTAGCAATATCTCTGGAATACAAGATAATGTTTATATCAACTTGACTATTATCATACATTTCAATCTGTATCAAAACTATATGTTCAATCCTTTGATAAAACAAAATCATTATCTATTCAACAGTGTTCCGGCACATCTTTCACCTTATTTTCAATGTGCATATATATCCACAAAAAAGTCAAGAATTTGTTTTGTAATTTTCACTCAAATAAATTGCAAAGGTACAGTAGTTAGTAGGCTAATAGACTTACGACAATCTGTCGGTTCATCTGAGTTGTCTAAACAATCCTGTTCTCCGTCACATTTCCAGATTTTAGGAATACATCTGTCATCTTTGATTCCACACCTAAACTGGCTACTGCTGCAGTTGGCTATACAAGTCTTTTTATCCACACTCAGAACAAAATCATTGGGGCAGTTACAGGTATAGCTCAGACCCCCAGGGGCAATGAGACACAGGTGTGAGCACCCACCATTGTTGTTCTTGCAAGGGTTGACTCCTACAATAAGTATTAAATATTTTCCTAATCAATTCAACACTTTTACTACAGAACTTAAACCAGATCTGTGAATTTCAAAATTAAATACATGTACATAGTAAAATCATAATGAATATAGTTTCCTTTTTTCCAATATCAGATCAACAAATATCCTCACTTTCACCAAGTCACTTCCCCATAACCTTGAAAATGACCTTGAATCAAGGTTACGAAACACTAGGATTTAGAGCAATTGGAAAACAGACAAAATTTATGTCTGAATTCAAATTATTGTTTACAAAGTTAAGTGGTATATCTTTGAACTCATTTGTATCAAACAGATAATCATGCAAAAAGCAATTTATCTTCCCTCCCCCTCCATATTTTTCAAGAATACAAAGTAAAATTTATGCTTCATTCGAAATAATTTTGTGTTATTCTGTTTTCACTTGACTTTTACAGAACTATTTACAACTATTAAATGATGCATTAGAAGCTTTTCTAACCTTTGGGCTGTTTGAGTGGGTGGTAGATGTGTATGTCCATTGGTCTGTGTGTGATATGCTGTAATACAGAATGATTAGCACCGGTAAATCTGTTGGCTTTCTCCACTGACTTGTGATTCCAATCTGTCCAGTACATAAAATCTTCAAACAGTGTGATGGCAAATGGATGTGGCACTTTTCCTTGCATTACAATATGTCGATTTGTGCCGTCTGTGTTGGCATATCTAAGTATGATAAGAAAAAAAAGTTTTCTGTGACAATGGAACAAAATATTAATAAGTGCCATTTTTTTTCAAATATTTATTTCAAATAATGTATCCTGGTAAAAGACAATACTGAACACGGTTTTGTCTACAAGACACTTTATTTGTCCTTTTTAAAAAAATCTGTCTCGTATTTTTAATTCAAGATTTTCTGGGGGGGTTTTCAGTATTTACACATGTACTTGTCTACCAGCTATTTTTCACTACATTCCTAATTTCACATTTTATGATGATGTGAAGATGTTGCTCTAGACAATTACTCCTTAGTATTACGTCAGTTGCTTGACTTACTCGATGTAGTCTAAGTGAGCATCTCCCCACCACAATCGATCATTAACAATGTCCACTGTTAGAGCATTGGGCCAGCCTAGCTTGTTCGTGATAACTTTGGAAGCATTAACTCCGTTCATTCCGATACATCCAATATAAGGGGTAACAGTCCAATCTGTCCAGTAGGCATACCTTACATACAAAATATTACACACCACTGTATATATTTGTTAATTCAATATCAGTATCAGCATGTACAACAACTGACATCTTTAGACATTGATTACAGAGTACTCACCCTCTTGTAGGATCCACTACAATAGCCCTGGGGTTTTTCATGAATCCTCCCTTTAGCAGAGTCAGTCTACTTGTGCCATTCATCTCAGTCACATACATGGACTGTTTTCTACTGTCCACCCAGTACACTTTTCTGTTACATAACAAAATGTTTTCCAGTGTTAATTAAGATATAGCTATTATAACTGCAAAATAAGCAATTATATCCATAAGTCGCACCTGCCAACAATTTATTCAAAAGGTTATATTAATAAATGTTAAATTTACAAAACAGTAATCTTTTCATATGGGTTCTTGGTATTCTAACAATTTGCATACAGTTAATGTTTGACAATAATTTGTAGAGCAAAAACTAGTAATATGGAAATAAAATTTTCATAATAACCTTCAAATCAACATTTAATATTAAGGAGGCTGGGGAGTCAACAAATTAACCATCAGATATAACTTTAATTTTTTTTAGATATGATATCTTAAGCTGTCAACTATCATTTGGCAAACAAAAATTTCATACATTTTAGTTTTAAAATTTGATCATTTTTGTATATCTTTATATGGAGCTCTTCTTCTAAAGGAGATCAATATAGTCTGAAAATGGCCACAACCACCCAGCCCTCTTAAGTGGCAATTACAAAGAATACCGTGGTATATAAAGACACTTACCTCCCAATCCAGTCCACAGCCAAACCCTCAGCTCCCAACATGCCATGTCTGACAATCACTTCCTTCTTGGTTCCATTTAAATGCATTCTGTACATTTTCTTGGCTCTGACATCAGTAAAATAAAGTCTGTCCTCTCTGTAGTCAAAATCAAAGGCTACAACATTGTCAAAGCCCTGAGAGATTCGACGGTAATTCTTGCCATCAGTTGACAGCTCTCGGATGTAGTACTTGTTGGTAAATATCAACCAAGGTGTTACATCTGAAGGTAAATGTACAGCATTTTCTCATGACTTAACATAAATTTAGCACAGATTAAGCTTTAAAAGAGCACTGCATTCTCATCAACGAAACATAAAATACAAGTACAATGATCGGTAAAGAATAAAAGTTTTGGAGACTTTTTAAAAAATTTACATGTATGAGTGTAAATAAAATTGGTCATTTGAATATGTGTTTACTTACTGTCAGTCTTCTTGCAGGATTTACCATTGATCTCCTTTTTGTAGCCATCTCCACACTTACATGTAAAATTACCAGGGGAGTTAATACAGGTCTGACTACAGGCCCCAGGTACCTCAGTACACTCATCAATGTCTGCAAAATAATATCAAAAAAACATGTTCATTTTTTCCTTCTTTAATTGCACATGAATAAATAACCTAATAAAGTCTTCCTAGTCATAGGAATATCAGATTTGACAGTATCAGTTGATTTTTTCCTGATGGTTTGGTGTGTGTAAGTCCTCTACCTTGACATGTCTTTTTGTCTGACTGGAGTTCATAGCCATAGTCACATTCACACACAAAGCTAGTAATCGTGTCTCGACACTTGTGTTGACAGTTATTGGTTAGCGCAGATTCACATTCATTAATATCTACAAAAAATCAAAACTGCAGTAACTACCCAGTTACCTTTTTACCTCATTTCTTATAGTTACATGTATATAGCTTAGTTTATGCAAGGGCTTCCAGAAGTTAGAAAAGAACATTAACAGGTAAGTATTCCACTCACTGCATCTATTCTCATCCGATTCATCTTCACAGTCAAAGGCTTTATTACAGACCAGCTTGTAGTCTATACACTTTCCATTTTTACACTGAAATTCTCCATTTGGACATTTATTTTCTGTGTGAGCTGTAGAATATTTCACATAAACAATCCATCAGAAATCATATCTGAGGCCAAAGTAGCCATCTCTTTCTACAAAATTTTATAATATTTCTTGTATGTGTTAAAGAAATTACATTTCTAACATAAAATTCACTTACTGCAGTTTTTCTCATCTGAGTTATCCTTGCAGTCATTGTCACCATCACACACAAACCTCTCTGAGATACATCGTTTGTTGTCACATTTAAACTTTCCCTCTCCACATGGTGAATATTCTAGAAAGAATTTCAAACTTAAGATGTCCTAATGGAACTGATACCCCTTGCACAGACACCATCACACAAATGTTGTACATTTCAAGTTTGGCAGAGATAAAAGCTTTCAAAAATGCACAGAATCATTAAGTTTGCACTATGTCATTGATAACAAGATGCAAATGAGGTGAATCCTGTCTTATTCCTAAACCAGTAAAGTGTAAAATGAAGGTCTGGTAAAAGAGCATCTAAAAATGCATCATATGTGCAACTTTGGTTGGAATCCCTTGTGAAAAGAACTTAAATGCTGACCCTAGGAGGAGGCAGTCTGGAGTAATATGTAGGCCAGATGAAGCATCCACAGAATGCTACATCAGACTAAGCATCCACAGACATACTGTACAGACAAGTTTGGTTTGGTGCCACTTGTTGTAAATTGTAAACAGACAAAATGCTGAGCTTACGCAGAGTCAATGGGACATTATATTTGAGTCAGCTTTAAATACATGTAAATGTGAAGAATCTTTACAGCATTGTGTTCAGTACTAATACAAACTAGGACAGGTCATCAATTCACTTACTGCAAGCATCTGTTTCATCAGAGCCATCTCCGCAGTCATTATCGTGATCACAGTAGAAGGACTGAGCGATACAGATACCATTAGTACACTGGAACTCTCCTGGCTGGCATGTACGACTCGGACAATTCTCCATCTCATCTTCACCCTCTACGCAGTTCTTTACCCCATCACAAACCAGACGTTTATCTATACAGGAGTAACGACCCAGTCGTTTGTTGGACTTGCATGTAAAAGTGTCGGCAGGGCAGGCTCTCTCCTCTGACAAATCAAGAAATTGCTTCATAATATTAACAACAATAGGTTAGTTTTCATATGACATATTTTGTTTTTTTCCTTGGACCCATCTTGGAGGTCAACCTAGTGAATTTTCCTCTTTGAGCAATCAATTTTAAATATGTATGGCAGAAATATAAAGGGGATAATCATTAAAAATACTTAAGTTATGAATTAAAGGGGGGTTTAAAAAATTTATATTTGTCAGAAAAACTGTGTTATCTATATCTCAATGCCCAGTATGAAAGCTTAAATTCGTTGAATTACAAAAGAATCTGAACATGTTGACCTCTAATATGGCAACCAACAGGAATTAACGCTTGCTAAAATTGCATCTATCAACAAGAGGCCCAAGGGCCTTAACGGTCACCTGAGTACAATACAACAATTTAGAGGATCCATAGAGTATTAAAATGAAATGAAAGGTGAAGCTTTGTTGCCCAAAAGCAAGAAAAATAGGGTGATCAGGATCAACAAAATAATTAGTCTACTATTCATTAACAGTTCATAAATTAGGTTCTAATCTGTTCCCCATTTATCACTATCACCATACAGTATATTAACAAACTATCAGTGCTTTTGTACTATTTTAATTCCTTGTTGACAGTTGTAATCTCTTACATTGGCCTTTCTTGGTCTTTGATGAACATTTAATAAGACAAGTTATTTTTGTCTCATTTTTATTTATCTATTACTTACAAGTCCACATGATCATTAAAACTATGAAAATACTTTTTGTATTATACAATAAAAATTCTTGCATAATTCTCTTATTCTATTAATTTTTCAAGTACATTATTTACAGTGATTAATTATCAAAAGTAAATGGCAAAGGGGAATAACTCCTCTCAGTAGAATGCAAATTAATTGAGCCTTGGCTAGGACCAGAACACTTGACCAAATGGTCCAGATGTTCAAAAATCTGGTAAAAATACCCTTCCTTATTACAACTTTTACACTTTTTGCCTCTGATATGCCCAAGTGCAGGGAAGATTTTTAAAGAAATAATGCATTTTCACTACAGATTCACTATATTATCAATAGAGCCCCTCCCCCCCCCCCCCTTTCACCACCGAGAAACACCAGAGCCTCTCACCCTGGGACCAGAAGTTTCAAGTTTGCTCATCATAAGTAATCACTTTGTTTAACTGCTTTACATTAAGGAGCAGACAGGATGATTTAATAGAATTAATGCATTTTCACTACATTATCAACAGCCCCACCCTTATACCAGCACATCTGACCCAGGGGTCATGCAATTCACTACTCTGGAAGAAGCACTCTTGCTCATCATAACTATATACTTAGCTTCTTTGCTTTTTAACCAGAAGCAGAAAAGAATATTTTCAAAGAAATTTTGATTTTTCACTATATAATCAATGGAGCCCCCCCCCCCCTTGACCAGAACCCTTGACCCTGGGGCCATGAAATTCACAATTTTAGAAGAGGCATTCCTTGCGTAATAACAATGTACTTAGTTTGTTTAAATAGTACCCAGGGGCAGAGAAGAAGATTTTCAAAGAAATAATTCACCTTCACTGTAGGAGCTACATAGCCCCACCCTAGCACCAGAACCCCTGTCCCTGGGGCCATGAATTTCACAATTTTGGAAGAGGTGTCCTTGCTTATCATAACTATGTACTTAGTTTGTTTAAATAATACCCAGAGGCAGAGAAGAAGATTTTTAAAGCATTAATGCATTTTCACTATATAATAAATAGAGCCCCACCCTAACATCAGAACCCCTGACCCAGGGGCCATGAAATTCACAATTTTGGTAGAGTCGCTCTTGCTTATCATATCTATGTATTTAATTTGTTTAAATAATACCCAGGAGTAGAGAAAAAGATTTTTAAAGAAATAATGCACTTTCACTATATGATCTATATAGCCCCCCCCCCCCCCCCCCCCAGCACCAGAACCCCTTACCCTGGGGTCATGAATTTCACAATTTTGGTAGAGTCATTCTTGCTTATCATAACTATGTATTTAATTTGTTTCAATAATACCAAGGAGTAGAGAAGAAGATTTTTAAAGAAATAATGCACTTTCACTATATGATCTATATACCCCCCCCCCCCCCCCCAGCACCAGAACCCCTGAGCCTGGGGCCATGAATTTCACAATTTTGGTAGAGTCACCCTTGCTGATCATAACTATGTATCTAATTTGTTTAAATAATACCCAGGAGTAGAGAAGAAGATTTTCAAAGAAATAATGCACTTTCACTATACGATCTATATAGCCCCACCTAGCACCAGAACCCCTGACCCTGGGGCCATGAATTTCACAATTTTGGTAGAGTCACCCTTGCTTATCATAACTATGTATTCAATTTGTTTGAATAATACCCAGGAGTAGAGAAGAAGATTTTCAAAGAAATAATGCACTTTCACTATATGATCTATATAGCCCCGCCCTAGCACCAGAACCCCTGACCCTGGGGCCATGAATTTCACAATTTTGGTAGAGGGCTCAATGCTTATTACAATCATGTCATCAGTTTGACTGCTTGATGTCCAGGAGTAAAGAAGAAGATTTTTAAAGATTGCATTAATTTTGATGGTTTTAGCCCCACCCCTCAGGCCCCAGGGGGGCAGGGACCATGAAATTCACAAATTTTGTTCCCCTTCACACATAGATGCCATATGCAAAAATTGGCTGAAATTGGTTCAGCGGTTTCAGAGAAGAAGCTGAAAATGTTCAAATGTTAACACACGACGCATGACGGACGACGACGGACGAAAACAGATAGCAATAGGTCACCTGAGTGACTCAGGTGACCTAAAAACTATAAGAAGATTAAGATATTTTTTTTGTCTCTCAATACATTACTGGATAAAATTTCAGCATTTTACTACTGTGTACAGATTATACTTTCTTCACTGCTACATCCATGAGGTACTGACCACATTTGAGCTCTGGAGCTTCATCCGAGTTGTCCATACAATCATCATCCCCGTCACACACCCATCTCTTGGAGATACAGCGACCATTAGCACAGGTAAACTGGCTACTGGAACAGGTGTTGTTCTTCTTCTCTGTTTGAACAATAATCACATCATAAATGCAAGAACTGTACTCTTTTCTAATTGCTGGTATTTACAGAGCCTTTTCGTACAAAAAGCTTGAATAACTTTCATTACTGTCCGATTTTCTGTAAGAAAGATTCTTTGTTACAATTTGCAATGGTACATGACAAATGAACATGTATCTGAAGGTTTCAAATACCGACAGTGCATGATTTGCACCAGATTTACTCTTCATATAAACAGAAAGAACACAGTATGTATAAGACAGCTTAATGAAGCCTTAGGGCCACTAAACTCACCACAGTTTGTATAAGACAGCTTAATGAAGCCTTATGGTTGCTAAACTCACCACAGTTTGTATAAGACAGCTTAATGAAGCATTATGGTCGCTTAACTCACCACAGTTTGTATAAGACAGCTTAATGAAGCATTATGGTCGCTTAACTCACCACAGTATGTACAAGACAGCTTAATGAAGCCTTATGGTCGCTAAACTCACCACAGTATGTACAAGACAGCTTAATGAAGCCTTATGGTCGCTAAACTCACCACAGTTTGTACAAGACAGCTTAATGAAGCATTATGGTCACTAAACTCACCACAGTTTGTATAAGACAGCTTAATGAAGCATTATGGTCGCTTAACTCACCACAGTATGTACAAGACAGCTTAATGAAGCCTTATGGTCGCTAAACTCACCACAGTATGTACAAGACAGCTTAATGAAGCCTTATGGTCGCTAAACTCACCACAGTTTGTACAAGACAGCTTAATGAAGCATTATGGTCACTAAACTCACCACAGTTTGTACAAGACAGCTTAATGAAGCATTATGGTCACTAAACTCACCACAGTATGTACAAGACAGCTTAATGAAGCCTTATGGTCACAAAACTCACCACAGTTTGTATAAGACAGCTTAATGAAGCCTTAGGGCCACTAAACTCACCACAGTATGTATAAGACAGCTTAATGAAGCCTTATGGTCGCTAAACTCACCACAGTTTGTACAAGACAGCTTAATGAAGCATTATGGTCGCTAAACTCACCACAGTTTGTATAAGACAGCTTAATGAAGCAGTAAGGCCGCTAAACTCACCACAGTTTGGCAGTTCATCCTCTCCTTGCCCACAATCATCATCTCCATCACAGTACCAGTTTACAGGGATACATTTGTGTGTCAGCTTACACTCAAAATAGCCTACATTTAACAAGACACACATAGTTAATGTTCATTATAAAAACAAATCATGAATAACAAGAAGTCTGTGAGCCAATGCTCACTAATAATACCCCCGCTCTGATGTGAATACACAAGTTCATTTTTGGACAGACACTGGGATAAACAAGAAGTTGACATCAGATTCATACAAAAATGAATCCCACCATATGACATGCATAAACAATGAGTGTGCTAAAATTTCAAGCATCTGCAAAAAGTAGTTGCTGAGTAATCTGCAACCAAAATTTGTAATGTATGGTACGGACAGACGCGCGGATAAACAGGAAGTTGCTGTCGGATTCTCACAAAAATAAATCCCACCATATGGCATGCCTAAACAAAGAGTGTGCTAAAATTTCAAGCATCTACGATGAATAGTTGCTGAGAAAACTGCTACCAAAATTTGTTATGTATGGTACGAATAGGCGCACGGATAAACAGGAAGTTGACGTCAGATTCTCACAAAAATGAATCCCACCATATGGCATGCCTAAACAAAGAGTGTGCTAAAATTTCAAGCATCAGCGATGAGCAATTGCTGAGAAAACTGCGACCAAAATTTGTTATGTATGGTACGGACAAACACACAGATAAACAGGAAGTTGACTTCGGATTCTCACAAAAATGAATCTCACCATATGGCAAATTTCAAGCATCAGCGATGAGTAATTGCTGAGAAAACTGCGACCAAAATTTGTTACGGACAGACAGACGGACGCACACACAAGGGTAAAACAGTATACCCCCCTCTCCTTCGGAGCGGGGGTATAATTAAGTATGTATTACATGTACATCCAGATGACTCAGTAGAATACAATGTACTATATCCAGAAAAGGCTGATAAAAATACAACATAAGAAGAATTAACATTATTTTGTGATACCTTCAGCACAAGCCACCGATTTACAGAACAGAGGATTTTCATCCGAGTTATCTCCGCAATCATCATCCCCGTCACAGAGATAACGACGAGCCAGACATTTGCTACTGTTAGGGCACTTGGTTTTTCCTTTCTCACAAGGACGATCAGCTGAAGTCGGAAACACATAAACAGAATAACAGTTTTAATTACAATATTCTGTGATTGTTAATATTATGTGACTTTATACAAGGTTGTGACTTACGACAGTTGATTTCATCTGTTTTATTGCCATCCCTACAGTTATCCTCCCCGTTACACACAAGATTTCTACTGATGCATCGGAAGTTCTTACAAACAAATTGTTTCTCTTTACATTTTGGATAATCTATCACAATAAGAAACAGTAATCACATTCAGAAATTGTAAGTAATCTTTACCTACGAAAACATACATAAAATAATATCAATCATAAAAATCAAGCAAAATATATTCACATTTTAACACCAGCACACCTACCACAGCCTGCCTCATCTGAGTTGTCCTTACAGTCGTCTTCATGGTCACAGCGATACTGAGGCTGAATACATCGTCCATTATTACATCGGAAAAAGGTGGGGTCACAAACATGAGTGGCTGCAAAATCAATCAATAGGATAAATGTAATTATCAATCCAAAAATCTCTTTCATAAGCATAATATAATCTAAAGTCAGTCCTTATATTACAGTTAAACTTGGTTATAACAGACTTCTGGGGATCTATGATCTAACTTCACTATATCCCTAATTCATTATATCCGTATAACAAATTCCTTAAAATATATACTTGGAGAAAAACAATATACATGTTTTTCTTCAAATATGACTACCAAATATGTTCAAGTATGAAATCCAAAACTTACCTTGGTTATTACTTAAATTTTCTGATGAATAGAGATTCAAATTCTAATACTAACGAAGTTCAAAATTTTAAATTTAGAGATCTCTAAAAAATTCGTTGAAAAAGATGTGAGTTTCATTATTTTAAACCTCTAGAGGATACGAAATCAGTTCAATACATCTGTAAATTCACTTTATCAGTTTGCAATAACCATAAAATATTACAAAGAATTGCAAGGAATTTTGCCTGGGATCTCCCAAAACTTTGCTATATCCAAAAATTTGCTACATCTGTGTTTGTACTAAATGAGTTTTACTATATAATTCTTTAATAAACAAACCCCTATTTCTGACACAATACTCACCACACATGTTCTCGTTTTCATCAGATCCATCATTACAGTCTGGGTCCGAGTCACACACCCACCTGTAATTGAGACACTGACCATTCCCACACACAAAGCGATTAGATTTACAGGTGTGGTTACTGGGAATACACATCTTGCCCCCGTTACCCAGGACGTAATTAATTCCGTCCTCCTCGGGACATTTACACTCAGCCTTGCCGTCCGGTGCTGGATGACAGCTGTGACTACAGCCTCCATTATAAGGCACACAGGGATCATCATCACCTGAAACAGACTCACAGATTATATCATTAAAGTGAAAGTAGGGGGAAATTTTGTAAAAGAGATACATATGTATCCCAGTAAGGGATAAAAGGTGAAAATAAGTGGTGTATCCCTTTGAACTAATTCCTTTCATAACACTTCAGTGAACAATAAGCTCACATTTTTGTCTGCGATGAGAGAAGACTGATATTCCCATTGGACGATTCAGAATTCCTTCCACCATAACCACCATGTTTGCTCCTGTGTGTTTCTCAGCTCTATAAACACCATCTACAAAATTTTAAAAAGTTAAGAACACAAACACATACTTTTTACGATATACAGTTAAATAGGTCAGCAGAAGGGATATCAAGTTTCCGAATGGAAGACTGAATATCAATCTAAGATACAATATTCAACATGGGAAGCTAATTATAGTAAATATCTATCATCAATATATCACTGTATCATAATTAGATACATGTAAGTACATTCTAGAATCTTCCACTTACGTAATGTCCAGTCTGTCCAGTAAACATAGTGACCAAACACTGTCATGGAGTACGGATGGACAGTGGACTGTACAATGATCTCCCTGTACTGGCCATTAAAGTTAGCCCTCTCTATTCTGTCTCTATAACACGATCAACATAAATTACTTTGTATTTTAAAAAAAAACCAAAATCTTGTTTCATTATAAAATTAAATTAATACAGAATGATTGATGAAAACATCAAAACACTGACTTGTACCTATTAACAAAATGTTTGCACCCAGAAGATTTGTCTTTTCTACATACATATACTACATGTATATACTAACCTTAATGCATCTGCCCAATATATCATATCCTCATCATAATCAATAGACAGTCCATTAGGCCAGCCTAGATCTGTCTCTACAATGGTGGTTCGAAGGTTTCCTGCCATGGTACTTCTTTCTATCTTAGGTAAGGTCCAATCGGTCCAGAACAGATACCTGCAAAATATTTATCTCAATTCAAAATCATTCTTCATTGGAAGAGGTACTGTAGATAAGTTTGTTAGCATCCTTTTCATATACTATTTGCTGCTATCTAAAATATTATGAAATCTTCTGTATAAAAATAGAAATTACTGAAATTCATGACTTATGTACAATTTGCATATAGGCAGACTCACCCTTTGCAAGGATGAACAGCCACAGCACGAGGGGATGCGACATGACCAAGAGGAGTCTTGTGTGTTTTGTTTGTGGTCATGCTCATGATCTGACCACTGAACACATCTGACCAGTATATCTTCTTACCCACCCAGTCTACAGCCAAACCTTCTGCAGTTGCTGAGGTTGCTCGTGGACTTTCTGGTAACACCAAAGACACAAATGTATCAAAGAATTATAGTAAAGGAGGTGGGCGAACATAGCGTGCAGAAAGCCTATAGCTTCAGAAATACAAAAATCATGTTCAGTTTGTGAATTAACATTTAGAGTAAAGTTCTCATTATTGAAATTTATGAAATTGTGATAGACAAAACTTTTCTGAGTAAAATTTTCTCAGCAAAATTTATTCTTTTATTTAAAAAATTAATGTGGTATTCGTGGGGTTCGAACCCCAGTAATAAAAATCCTGAGTATCATTTTCTTTTGAGACTAGCACGCTAACCACTAGACTACACAAGAGGCCCAGGGGCCACAGTGCTCAGGTGAGCACTGTGGCTAGGAAAAAAGGAAAAATCAGTTTAGTATTGAAAAGCGTAAATGCATAAATGGTTCCAATCTACCCCTAAAAGGGAGTGGGGGGGGGGGGGGGGTATGACTTGAACAAAATTAAATCTACACTGCTTACATAATTTTTTGACTGTGACTTTTTTCTCTACAAGTTTGAACTTTCATTGTGGCCCCACCCTACCCCTGGAGGTCATGATTTGAACAAATTTGAATCTACACTATCTGCGGATGCTTCCATATAAATATTACAAACCGTGGCTTTGCTGTTCTTGAGATTTTTAAAGGTTTTTCTTATATATTCCTATATAAAACTTTGAAAGTTCATTGTGGCCCCACCCTTACCCTGGGGGTCATGATTTGAACAAACTTGAATCTACACCACCTGAGGATGCTTCCAATATAAATATGACCAATCATATCTTTGCTGTTTTTGAGAAGAAGATTTTTCCTATATATTCCTTTGTAAAACTTTGATCATCCATTGTGGCCCCACCCTACCCCTGGGGGCCATGACTTAAATAAACTTGAATCTATACCACCTCAGGGTGCTTCCAAATAAATATGACCAATCATAGCTTTGCTGTTCTTGAGAAGAAGATTTTTGAAGATTTTTCCTATATACTCCATGAAAACTTTGATTGTCCATTGTGGCCCCACCTACCCCCAGGGGTCATAATTGGAACAAACTTGAATCTACACCACCTGAGGATGCTTCCATATAAATATGACCAATCATAGCTTTGCTGTTCTTGAGAAGAAGATTTTTGAAGATTTTTCCTATATATTCCTATTTAAAACTTTGATCGTCCATTGTGGCCCCACCCTACCCCCCGGGGTCATGATTTGAACAAACTTGAATCTACACTACCTGACAATAATTCCATATGAGTTTCATCTTTCCTGGCCCATTGGTTCTTGAGAAGAAGATTTTTCAATAATGCCATTAATTTTTTGCTATTTCGTAATTATCTCCCCTTTGAGGAGGGAGTGGCCCTTCATTTGAACAAACTTGAATCCCCTTTACCCAAGGATACTTTGTGCCAAGTTTGATTGAAATTGGCCCAGTAGTTCTGGAGAAGAAGATGAAAATGTGAAAAGTTTACGACAACAACGACGCCGACGACAACGGACAAATTTTGATCAGAAAAGCTCACTTGAGCCTTCGGCTCAGGTGAGCTAACAAGTCCTGACGAACAGTGGCATTTAAATCATGTTTGTGATATGACCCTTGACTTAATGGACTTCAAGTATTTCTTGAAAAGATGCGAATGTTATGTCATAAAAGTATATTTTTAAGGTATAGTGGGTCATTGCTCCATATTTTTGGTAACCAAAAAATGTACATTTTTATGCAAACTTTGAGGATTAACTTTCAAAAAGGTGGAGCGAAGACCCACTCATATCGAAAAATAGTGTTATAGTATGAGAAAATGACTCTTTTTGCCCGCTTTAGTGTGTGTCTAATATTTCACAGGCAAATAATTTCAATCTTTGAGGGATTTTTGCAAATTGTAGAGATTTTACATAAGTATATTTTAATGTTAGACGAAATATCAAGGAAAATTTTGATATAATTGAAATTTAATTTTTCATCTTCATGTTTGTCACACTATAGGCTTATCGCTCGTCATGTTCACCCATCTCCTTAATTGTAGTTTTCTTAAACAAGATTATACATGACTGTAAAAGAAAATACAACTTTTGTTATTCATTCTTACTTGAAGTATTTCCAGTTTTAGCCATGTCTTCTATATCATTGGTTCCCTTTCTGACCCGGCTTATTGATTTCCCGAGAACCTGAGAGAAGTAGATATAATTCTCTTCATAGTCGAAGTCCACAGCTACCACTCCAAACAGGCCCTTGATGGGGGGCATTGGAGCTGACTTAATCCTGGGATCCAAGGACACACTGATTATCTCAGACTCTGCAGCAATCACAAGGAACTCACTGGGAGCTGAAAACAATATCTGATGACCTCAATAAAGTTTGCCAAAAACCCTGTTTTTAATCCACCCTGCTCACATCCCATAAAGGCGTACCTTTTTAATCCACCCTGGGTTCACATCCCATAAAGGCATACACATGTACACAGATTTTACAGATATTTCAGCAATCCTACAAGTGTGATGTGTTACCTTTGCAAGATTTGCCACCTTTATCCAAAACCCCAGTAGCACACTGACATTTAGGTTCTGTCTTGTTTGGGAAAGAGAAACAAAGCTGTTCACATCCTCCATTATTTACACTGCAAGGGCTGGAGACTGCAAAACATAACAAACTTAATACCAATAAATTAGTGTCAAAATATGTGCCTGCATGTATTCAAGTGAAGCTTACTTTCCTTAGAAAATGATCTGAAATTTTATTTTACCATTAGGCTGCACAGATTGGTGAAAGATGGCAATGTCTCGCAACATCTCTAGATTATTTTTAATGACGGTACTTCTAGCGTTTTCTCGATCTTTTCTGGATTTAAAAACCTGAGAATTAAATTTCACTAGCTATAAAGTGCTGACTTACATAACCTTTTTATAGTAAAACACTTCAATTAGAAATGCAAGAGCAAAAAAATATTTTTAAAATCATTAATCTAAAACATAAGCCACTCCTTGTTTTCTTACCTTCTTTAGGTTACGATCCACCCAATACATAAACTGGCCTCTGATAGCAATTCCAAATGGAGAGGGGAGATTAGTCTTGACATATTTTCTGTTTCCACCACTGAAGGACATTTTCTAACAAAGCAGATGTACAGTAACTTAGGAATAAATTGATAATTTGACTAAACAACGTCATTTTCAGAAAGCAGAATTTTTTGATTTTTTGGGGGTCAAATATGAGACTGAGGATATTCTTTGTACCTGAATAGCGTCCACCCTAGAGTCTACCCAGTAGACTTCATGTGTTTCGATATCAATGGTGATCCCACGAGGATAGACGATCCCATTCTTTACCAGAACAGTCCTATTACTACCATCCAGATGGGATCTCTCTATCTTAGGGAACTGACCCTGGTCTATCCAGTAAAGGTACCTGCAAAAACAAAAATTAACAGAAAATCAGATGCAGAAACTGAAGATAGAAGCATTAACTCTATGATAAATACTGAAGAGCTCTTCCCTATTTTATATGGAAAATGTTAAACTTCCTGAGAATTTTTTTTCATGTGAAGCAGATAACATAATGAAATTTAAGATATTGTAACAGGAAGGGAGAAAATGGGATGGACCAATCAATGATTCAAATTTGGGCTCCCCTGAACTCTGGACAAGTGCTTATATACCAACTGAGTTATTGGTCATCAGCTAATGTACCTGTCTGAACACTATATTATAAACACAGTTTCTGTGTGCGGTCCCTTGTCTTTGTACTTACCTTTTAATGGGATTGACAACTAGAGCTCGAGGTGTAGCTTCCTTTTCCTGAAATAGTATCATACGATGGGTTCCATTCATTCTGCTCACCTCCATATACGTCACATAGTTCTTAGAGTTAGTGAAATACAAATTTCCTGTGCAACAAAATGTAATATATGTCACCTTAAATAAGCATAGCTTTCAAAGAAAATAAAGTTCCTTTAATGGTTTAAGCAACTTTTCCTTTATTACTGGGTGAATAATAACTATAATATAGGGCCTCATAAAGATAAACTTGTCATAATCCAGAACTTGCCAATCCAAAAAAGAAATTTAAATCAAAAAATCCTTGTAAATGAAACATCTTTAATATTCATTTAACCAAAGTGAAGAGCATAATTTTCAAAACTCATCCAGCACTGGCTGAAACCAATAAGGAAGAGGGGTTACCTGCTACCCAATCCACAGCAATTCCCTTAATGCCATCTCCTGACTTCATACCAATCCCGTCCACAACTACTTCCTCATACCCTGATCCATCAGCATGAATTCTACAAATTCCATTATTATTGCCAAGTTTTACACCAGTTGGGTCATAGTCACACCAGTATATATGTTGTCCAGCCACATGGACATCCACATGTAGGGCAACACGATCTATATCAGTAGAAAACATATCTGTTGTATACACTGTGGTAACTAAATATTTTTTTCACTTTAATATTTAATAAAAGAAGAAAAATATTCCAAAAAAAAATAATTTTCATATGTAACTATACTTTACAGACACTAGACAAATAGGTATAGCAAAATAGATCTTCATCACAATAAACACAGATACTTACCTGGTCCCCTAATGGGAACCATGGCATCATTGTGACTGGGGCTCAAAGAGAATCCTCGAATCACCTCCAGCATCGAGACTACAGCAAATGTATCTTCCACTGAAAAACATAAAAAAAATTGTAACATGTACCCAGCATCTCTCAGTGCAGGGTTTATTATTCAGTGTTTTATTTACGTACTGTAGCACTTCCCAGTGGTGGAGTTCATCTGGAAGCCTGTTGAACACTGACAGATGTTTTTCCATTTGTACTGTCCTGGTCCAGGTAGACAGAGCTGCTCACATTTACCATAATTAAACTTCCACTCTTCTGTTATTCCTTCATACTTCACCACACAACCATGGGGAGACGTGTCTGTTACAAATCAAAACGCTATATGTTATTACACGAACTTTGTATATTTAAACCCTGATACCTCAGAGTGGTGATACGGATGGAAAACTCTGAAACAGGAAGGATTCAAGATGACAATTTGAATTCATATCACTCACAAATTCAAAAAAGTGGTGGAAACAATGAGTTGTTTTTATATAAGAATCAATTAATGAAATCATTTATAAAATCATTCATACACTTTATAATGAAATCAACCAATCAAATAAATAAAAAGAGAACAATGTACATAAACAGGCTTGAGATTATAAGATAGAAATTAAACCTACTGTCTTTATGGTGTTCTCCATAGATTTTCAGCCCATGAAGCATTAGGATGTTTGTTTTGATAACTTCTTTGCGTTTTTGAGGAGCGTTTATTGAAACAGAGAAGATGGACTCAAAATCAGCATCAACATAGTAAAGTTGATTTCTATACACTGCTATACCTCGGGGATTACTTAGGCGGTTCAAAAACACTGTAACACTTCGAGGACGCAATCCACATTTCATAATCTACAAGAGAAAGAAATCATATTTCTGATGAAAATTAACAATAAATGTTCATGACAACAATAGCTTATTAGCAGTTTTCATGCCTTCCATTTCTGAGATTTCAACTTTAAAAAATTCTTCCAAATGACATGAAGACAAGGACATTATTAAGACTTAAAGAATGCTTACCCATTGCCTTCCCGAGTCTGTCCAATATAAAGTTTCCATATTTCTGTCCAGGGTGATGTATTCCGGTTTCTCCACTCTTCTCTGTAGAACTATAAATGGATTGCTTCCACTCAGGCTCATTCCCCCAATCTTCGAGGGCAATCCATTCCCTCCCTGATCTGCATAGTACAGCTTCCTAAGGGCAAAAATACAGACAGTCAGACCATTTATTATATACCCAACAGGATATCACTCAATTTTACTGTAGATTTTGTACAATCACGTGACGGTGTGATCCAACTTTCTGGATCACCACACTGTGGTTTTCTGAATCCATATCACCCCTCTCTGAAATTGATGACGTAGTACACAGAAACACGACGTTATTTTTCTTGCGCATCAAAAAGTCCCTTGACACAATGCTTTGTTTAATGGAAAAATATTAAATAATTGATCTCAGAAGTTTTTAAAACTATATCTTGCTAGTTGTAAGGGGGTATATAATAAATTTATCATTATAACAGTAACTTGATCCGAAGAGCCACATCACTTCGAGTTGACAGGCGCGGATCATCAGATCAAACGAGACGCGAAGCGTCAAGATTGATCTGATGATCCGCGATTGTCAACTCGACATGATACGGCTCTTCGGATCAAGTTGCTGTTATAATAATATATATGTACCACATAGGGTTACATACTATACACCAAATCTTGATTATCTCAGATTTAGTGAGACTGAATCAAAAAAAAAAGAAAGATTTTTTTAAATCCCATATTCATACGAGGACTCACCGCTTACTCATTATCTCTAGTGATTGACATTATATTGTTTAAGACATGGAGGAACAACTGTAGAACTTTGGAACAAATTTGTTCTTTACCTATAAATCATTCTTCATTGTCTTAAATGTAAATAATTCTTAGTATGCAATAAAAAATATTGTTGAAGCAAGTGAAGTGATATAGTTTGCCTTTAACTCCTACTAATAATGGTTAGGGTCTGACACTGTAATGACTCCAGCTTAGCACAGTCATAGTTTTTCCTTGTGTAGTTACCCATGGTTAGGGTCTGACACTATAATGACACATGCCTAGCACAGTCATAGTTTTTCCCTGTATACTTACCCATGGTATGGGTCTAACACTACTGACACCGGCCTAGCACAGTCATAGTCTTTCCCTGTATACTTACCCATGGTATGGGTCTAACACTACTGACACCGGCCTAGCACAGTCATAGTCTTTCCTTGTATACTTACCCATGGTTTGGGTCTAACACTAATGACACTGGCCTAGCACAGTCATAGTTTTTCCCTGTGTTGCTGAGAAGAACTTTACGATAGTGATTATCTCCATCCATTCTCATCACTTCGATTGTTCCAGCTTCATCATCTGTCCAGTATAGATTCCTAGTGGTCCAATCCAGCGCAATGGCACGAGGACTCCCAGAAAACAGGGTGGGATTCATCTCCTTTTCCTTTCCATCAACCAGAGAAATGGCCTTCACAGAAGACTGAAAAAAAAAATTACGTAGAACACTGAAATCAAAAACTTTGACGTAGGACAAAACATCCTGCATTAGCAAGTATAAGTCACCAATATGACATGGGATGTAAACAAATGCTTATTTAGTAAAATGAATGGCAGGTTGAAAATCAAATACTAAATAATTTATGGAACCTAGTGTTTTACCACAAAGTCATATTCCTTGTCCACTTACATTGCCATTCTCTGGTCTTTGTACTATGAACATAGTTTTGTTCTGTGTGTCAAAGTCCACATCCAGCACATTTTGTTTACTGGAGAGAGGCAGCACATCATGGACTGTATTGTTATTAAGGGTCAGTCCTACCAGGCCAGTCTTAGTGATGTATGCAAGGTATGTCTGACTCACTGAAACCAAAACCATACTAGTATATAATACCAACACAGACTGACAATACAACTACTAAATAAACAATACCAAGGCAACTAACAAAACCTGCCAATCTATACTTATGATGCAAATACTTCCTATAAGCAAAAGCCTTTTGACAGTTTAGATAGGCCTTACAAAATGTTGAATCCATGTGACCATGACCCTCTATTACACCTTTCATTATTCTAAATTTATTGTATTTAATAGACTAAGTTTTTGTGACTACAGTTCATTTTGACATGTTACACTGTTCTGTTGGAAAACATACATTCTCTTTTTCTAGTCTTACCTTCTTGACAGGACCTCTGGTCATTTTCCAGAGCCATACCTACAGGACAGGCACACGAGTATCCAGAGGGCTTATCAGCTGACAGTAAACAAAGATGGCTACAGCGGGCCAAAGCACAAGGATTGGTATCTAAATTTAAACAATGAAACAAACTTCATGAATTAATATTGCATATTTGACAGAAAATTCATAATTCTTATACATGTTTTATGTGTAAAGAAGACCTTATTAATCTGGACACCTATTTTTTTGTTACAAACTCTCCAAACAGCTAAAACTGCAGTGTTTGAATTGTTTTTATCCATATTAATGCTCAGTCCTTATACATTGAGCTGATTAGTAACCCAAATGCAAAAGGAAACAGATTTTTATATCAAGGGTTAATATCTTCATAACACACCTTGAGGAAGGATGACTTGTCTAGCAGGATGCATAATGGCTATTCCCAACGGTCTAAGGATGAAACTGACGACAACATTCCGTCCAGCACAGTCAAATTTGTTACATTTAGAGACACGCCCTGCCATTCTATCAGTCCAGTACATGTAATCTTCAAACACAACAAGGTCATGTGGATGTCTCAAAAACTGAAAACCAAAATGGTTTGGATATACAATACATGTACATATAGTTCAGTTCTTACATGTGCATTACCATGGTAAATACTAAGAGAAGATCATACTGATCATTCAAATAGAGCACAGACTGCAGATTGATGACAATATTTGCAGAAAAAATTTTGTTAAAAAAAACTTACATGATCATTTGCAAAAACCTTCTGTCTTCCTGAGCCATCGTAGTTACAGAATTCTATAAAGTCAAGCCTTGCATCTGTAAAATAGACTCTTCTATTGGGATAGTCTAGTGTCAATCCATTAGGCCAATATAATTTCTCCGAGATGATGACTTTCCTTCCAATGCCATCCATCCCGGATCTCTCTATCTTAGGATTCTGTCCCCAGTCAGTCCAGAACAGGTACTGAGCTCTGACAAATACAATTATTCAGGTATAAGAAAACTAAAACAATTACTGTAAACCAACTTTTATTCGCGAGCGAGAAATATCCGCAAGTTTTGCGACCTTCTTAAGTTCTTTTATTCGTGAATATTTCTTGTCGTGAATCAATTATCTACCTATATATTTATGTAGAACATTGCCTCGGTCGTGAAAATTAGTAGCCCCGGATGGATTCTAAACTGAAGAATTGCGAATAAAAGATGTCGCAAATAATAGTTGGTGTACAGTAATCAAGAAATCAGATACTGAATAAAAAAAATATCTATAAAATCATGTACTGTACCCACTGCGGGGGTCGACTTCGATGCCTCGAGGGTTGGTGATGTTCTCACTGAAAAGTATGGTCTTCATACTGCCATCAAGTTTGGCTACCTCAATAGTTTCTACTACATAATCATTCCAGTACAAGTTACCACCAATCCAGTCCACAGCCAAGTCCTCAACGACATTTACTCCCACAGGGAACACCTACAGAAATCATCAATTTCTGTTATAACTGTATTATAAAGAACTCGTCCAAACATTGACATTCACAGAGAAATGCTAAGCAATCCAGTAAATAATCCAAACCTCTGTAAGGTTACTCCCATCAACATTAACCCGGAAAATTTTCTTCAGCGATGAGTCTGAGAAGTAGACATGTTGTTTCTCGACATGGACATCTAGTCCTGCTAGAGCCTGGATCCCAGGAAGCTGGATGTTTGTCAGTTCCATCACATCTAGTCCTGCCTTCATCAGATCTTTCTGGCTGGTCACAAGGAGATAGGGTTTAGTCTCATCTGTAAAGAAACAGAAGTAAATGCACTCAAACGTGTGTTTTTTCCTCTCTTTTTTTCATTTTTATTTATTTCTTTATTTTTCTTTTCTCTTTTTTTTTTGGCCTAAGGAACTACAAACAAGCATCTGAAAACTTTTCAAACAACTGAAGCCAGCATAATTCAAGAAATCCAAACTGCACATATTATAGTAAAATCCAAATCATCATACTCACTTCTTTCAGCAAGACATGTGGTATGATTGACTAGTTCATATCCTGGATCACAAGTGCATTTAAATGACCCTTTAGTATTGATGCAGTGTTGACTGCATTTCCCAGGAGGTTCACATTCATTATCATCTGAAATTAACCACATTATTATCATTTTAGTTTGTTTTTTTTTCAAAAAAGTAAACCTAAAGTAACAGTACATAATGAGAATTTCTGTTCTGACAGCTTACCCACACATTCCTTTGTCCCATTCAAGACCTGCCCCACAGGACAAATACACTCTGCCCCACGAGGAGTCTGAATACACAAAAAGTTACAGTGACCATTCTCAACACCACATTCATCAGTATCTGCAAGCATAAAAAAAATTTTTTCACACTTCTTCCAACATTTGCAATGCATCTAAATTTGCATTGGATCTTAAATATTCTAACAACATCCAAATATCAAATTAACTTAATATATAATATTTTAACATTCTCTTGGGAAGAGAATGTTTTTTGTAAGAAAAGAAACATTTTAAACTAGAACTGTCCAAAACGGACAAATACCCCCCGCTGGGTTTTTCAGAGGTGCCAAATCACTAATATTTCATGGATCTAAGAGGTGTTTTCTTATTAACATTTAGAGTGAAAAAATAATTGCTCATTATATTTTTTTTTAATGAATGAAACCAAGGAACAACCTAATAAAACATCAATACCAATACATTGTAGTTACATTGTTTTTGGATACATAGAAAAAATAAATTGCAACTATCTGTCATCTTTTTGAGACATGACATTCTGCATTGATTGTTGAAGAAAAAAATCAATTAATTACAAAATCAAATTAATCTTGATAACTTTATATCAAATTCATTTTAAAAATGAAAGGCTGGTCATCCAGTAACTATTTACTATGACAGACAATAAATTACAACTAAGAGAATTAAAAAACAGAGATCTTTAAATTCCCAGGAGATATAGATAACACACGCTTGATCAGAGATGCCCTAACAACTTCCCACACTGAACTCATTAATTTATCTCTAATTGGATGATGTCCACTCATTAGTCCCAAGGGACAAATGGATTTACACTATCTGCTGTGTAATGTAAGAATTGTTTTTAATACTTGGTGATTTTTTTTTTGTTTTTGTTTTAATGAATAGTTTTAAGCTGTAGTTCACATTTTTGTACAGATGTTCTAGATTCTGTGTCTCAAACCTTAGAAATAAACCTAAAATGACTAAGTCAATAAAAATGCAAAAAAACTGTAAAATGCAGAAAAATGATCAAATAATGTTGAAAATACCAGGTGCACATCTTCATATGGTAAATAATGAGTGTACAAATTTTCATACAATTCTATGAAATAGTCTTTGAGTAAAGATCAGGACAAAACCACATAATAAAAATGAAAAAAAACACCTGTAAAATGCAGAAAAATTATTCAATCATGATGAAAATACCAGGTGCATACCTTCATATGGTGAATAATAAGTGTACAAATTTTCAGACAAATCTATCCAATAGTATCCAAGAAACGCTCAGGACAAAATCTTGTCTACAGACAGACGGACAGACGGACAGACAGACGGACAGACAGACGGACATGGTGATTCCAATATACCCCCCCTAAACTTCGTTTGCGGGGGGTATAATTATAAACAGACAAGACAGTACTCACTACAGATGGGACTCTCATCATCCCCATTAGGACAGTCTGGGCTGCCATCACAAACTTTTGTTCTATTTATACATATTCTAGAATTCCCTGGACATTCCCACTGATAATGAGGACATTTAAAACTGGGAGGTGCTGCAAAAGAAATGACTTGTCTTATATTTGAAATAACTGTTGAAATTTAAATTCAGTCACCTTTATTTTTACAAGTTTCCTTACGACAAGTGAGACTTTGATCCTCGTCAGAATTGTCACCACAATCGTCGTCTCCATCACAGATCCAGGACTGAGAGATACAGCGGCCATTAGCACACCGGAACCTGTCTGACCAGCAGGTGGGTTCAGCTGTTATAAGTAAAACAAGAACACCTGAGAAATACAGCAGTATTAGCACACCTTAACCTGTCTGACTAGCATTCAGGCTCAACTGTTAAAAGTCATAAGCACAATTTAATCTGTCTAACCAGCATTCAGGCTCAACTATTATGAAGTCATTAGCACAACTTAACCTGTCTAACCAGCATTTAGGCTCAGCTGTTATGAAGTCATTAGCACAACTTAACCTGTCTAACCAGCATTTAGGCTCAACTGTTATACAGTAATTAGCACAACTTAACCTGTCTAACCAGCATTTAGGCTTGGCTGTTATACTGTCATTAGCACAACTTAACCTGTCTGACTAGCCATTTAGGCTCAGCTGTTGTAAAATCATTAGCACAACTTAGCCTGTCTGCCCCCCCCCCCCCTTTCCAAGTATAGTATTTCACTATAGTAAATTTTCCTTTAGAGGCTGTTTGGCCACCCACTTTTTGCTATTGTAAGGTCAAGCACTGTCAAATTGCAGAATTTGGACAGTAAATAAGGTTGGGGTTTTTTTTTTGGCTTGTCAGATAATTTTGGGAAATTGGCCCCTCCAATTTTGGTCAGATTAGGGTTTTTTTTGCTTCTCAGTTTTTTGTTTTTTTTTTTTGGGGGGGGGGGGGTTGCCCCCCCCCCCCCCACTTTTGAAACCATTGCTACGGGCCTGATCTAAGACACTGCAGTCATTAGCACACCTTAACCTGTCTGACCAGCATGTAGGTTCAGTTTATTGTGTTTATACTACGACTGCCATGCACTCTCGCACGCCTTGAGGGGAAGCGTCAGACTGGGCTAAACAAACACGGTCGTTGACCGGCGACAATGCTTTGAAGCGTGACAATGGAGAGTCAATCAGCTGATGATCAATATATTGAGAGTTAATTATTCTATACACATGTAATTTCGGGGAACTCCAACGTGTTCACTATATATACGATAACAGATTTACAAAAGATGACATAACGAGCAGTAACAACATGATAATTAACACGCTTCTGATTCAAGTTTCTGTGCCCAGAAAAAAATTAACCCTTTCAAAATTTCCTATTCTTTGTATTTAATCAATTACTCATGCTTTGTTTTTAAGTATTAACTTGATTATCTTTCTGATGAAATGTACATAAGAGCCAATCGTCGTCTAAGTTTTAGAGTTACCTCCCGTTTTAGGAAACGTCGCGTGGTGCTATATTTAGCACTGGGCACATGGAGAAGTAAACAATGGAGGAAACTTGGCGAAAAATGTAATATGTAAAAAAAAAAAAGAACGTTTAGAAAAAAAAAACAGAATAGAGAAAGCAAAATTACAGTTATGTCAAATATATGCCCCTGGTTATATTAATTTACTTTTACCATGCATGTCATCAGCAAGTTTTCATGCTTGCAGTTAAAAAGCTTAGACATAGGCAGGATGTCGGTGTTTGTTCGTCTGTTTGTTTGTGTGTCTGTGACTATTTTTTTTCAAAATACTTCCCATTTATCAATTTTAGTCATATTTAAATAAAACGTTTCATACAACAGGCAACATCAATTCTTTATATCAGTTTTTGAATAATGTTGCCATGGTTACTCTATCACTGAAATATTTTTTTTAAATTCCTTCAAAATGTTCCCATAGTTTTGGGCCAATTTTGACACACTTTTGTAAAGTAAGATACATAATCTTTTTTATTTTTTTTTTAGCTTTAAAAATTATTGGTTATTTCAACTTTTTGTGTTGCAGTGGTTATAAGTTTTGTGAAATAAATCATTGATTAATGAAGGTTAGGAAGTCTAACACATATTCATGTTTTCAGTCACATTTCGCCTTCGCGCAGCTTCCTCCATGGTTAAATTTTCAAATATGGAGAACCCTGGTTTACATTGATAAAAAACAGATTCAGAATGTTACCAACAGATCAGTTGAATAGCTAAATTAACACAAAACTTACAAATGGGTTAAAGATGATGAATAAGCACAACTGATGGGTAGATTTACCAACAAAATTAGATAAAGATGGAGATAAATACTGACGACAAGTGTCCGGCTCATCGGATCCATCCTCACAGTCGGGCTGCCCATCACATTTCCAGCTCTTTGGTATACATCCACCCTTTGTACAGTTGAACTCGTCTAACAAACACATATTCTTTTCTCTTGTAGCTAAAATAAGCAGAATATTTCGGTTATTAATAATTAAACTAATTAAAGAAACACACACACAGAGTCATACCTTGCAATTAGAAGCGGTAGAATCTTTTAAAGGTGGTTTCATATGGAAATCAATAATGAGGAGGTTAATTTTTTCTCTCTCATAATAACTGAAAAAGACAGTGATTTAAAAAGATAATTTGTTTTAACTTACGACAGTTAAGCTCATCACTTTTATCCTGACAGTCTGGTGCTCCGTCACAGTGGTACCTCTCAGGTATACACTGCCTCACCTCCTTACAGGTCCATTTACCGTCAGAGCATACTAACGGGGGACAATCCTTCTCATCCGACCCATCATAACAATCCTGAAATCCATCGCAGACTTTCTTTTCATAGATACACCTATTGTCACCACACTGGAAATGGTCCACATCACATTTATGAGAGCCTACAAGAAGATACACATAGATACATCTATTGTCACCACACTGGAAATGGTCCACATCACATTTATGAGAGCCTACAAGAAGATACACATAGATACATCGATTGTCACCACACTGGAAGTGGTCCATATCACATTTATTAGAGCCTACAAGAAAAAAATAAACATAGATGCACCAATTGCACCACACTCAAGGTGGTCCACATCACATTTGTGAGAGCCTACAAGAAGATAAACATAGATACACTGATTATCGTCACACTGGAAATGGTCCACATAACAATGGTTTACACTTAAGATTGCCTACTACTTGGAAAAGAAAAATCAAAACACAAATTTATAAACAACTTACTGCAAAACTGGCCTTCATCTGATCCATCCCCACAATCATTGTCAGTGTCACACTTAAACCTACAAGAAAAGGAACATATTTACAGCACTAATGTATAGATTAAGATTGGAAGGAGTTCAAGATATTTGATAGAATATATCACTTTACCAAAATAAATTATTTTTGGATAGCATATCAGTGAAAGCTCTTCACTTACTCTATAATAACATACATAATTCATCTCTTCCACATAAAACAAAGCACACAGTTTATTCCATTGCTAAATGCAATCTTGTCCACAACCATATCAGTTAGTTTATGCTTAAGTTAGTAACTACAACACAAAACCCCCAGACATCCATCCCTGTACATTATCTGTACCTCTTATTAATACACAAGGTGTTATTACACCTGAACTGTGTGGGGCCACAAGTTTTATTAGCTGAAATAAAAAAGAATGGGATGAGGGAAAAGATATCTGAAAGGTGAAAGGACATTTCATAAATAAATTAAAAATTCAATTGATTTCAGCAACTTACAACAGCCGAGTTCATCAGAACTGTCCCCACAATCATTGTCTCCATCACACATCCACTTCAGGTCAATACAGCGATTATTTTTACACTTAAAATGCTGTGGACCACAGGTTCTTCCTATAAAGAAAATTATATTCATGATCTAGAAAATCTTTGATAAAATTTCAGAGTTATTTCCCTTAGAATTAAAAGAAAAGGTAGTATGAACAGGACATGTAACACCAATTATTTTATCACAAATAACCTTCAACATAAAATCTTATTCTAGTAAATCATGCACCAAGTGACACCTTTTGTACAATTCTTTTCATCAGAGTTATCCAAGCAATCGTTTTCCTGGTCACAAGTAAAAGTGTTTGGAACACATCGTTTGTTGTCACAGGTGAAGAAGCCAGGACGACATTTCTCCTCTTTAAACACTTCCTCGTCCTGATGACAGGTCCTCATGTCCTCATTCAGCTTCATCCCGAAAGGACAGGCACACTTCCTGCCTAGCCGCTGGACACCTCCAGAAAAGGGCACCGGGAAACAAAAGTGGGAACAGTCACCATTCCTCTTGGCACAGGCATGATTAACTGAAAAATGGGTTATTGGTATTATATAGCATGTTGCACCGCCCTCTTGTTTTGGTATGTTTTTTTTAAAATGTCTTACACCTATTTTTGATATTTCTGTCTCATGGTACTTTCAGTGGAGACAGTATTAAATGTTTCAATCTATAAAAATAAAACCATAATTAATGAAATTCTTTTCTTTTGAATCAATGAAATATACTAGAGGAGAGAAGAAACTTTTTAAAAAATTTATGCACTTTCATTTTATGCATTTTCACTATATGATCAATAGAGCCCAATCTAACTCCAGAACCCCTGACCCTGGGGCCATGACTTTCACAATTTTGGTAGAGGGTTCAATGCTTATTACAATCATGCCAACAGATTGACTGTTTGATGTCCACGAATAAAGAAGATTTTTAAAGATTGCATTAATTTTCATGGTTTTAGCCCCCTCAGGGCAATGGGGGGCAGGGATTTTTGAAAGATGCCATTAAAAAATAACTAATTCTTAATTATCTCCACTAGAAGAAGGGCATGACCCTTCATTTGAACAAATCCCCTTCACCAAAGCATACCCTGTGCCAAGTTTGGTTGAAATTGGCCCAGTGGTCCTGGAGAAGAAGATGAAATTGTGAAAAGTTTACAACGACAGACAACGGACAAATTTTGATCAAATAAGCTCGCTTGAGCCATCAGCTCAGGTGAGCTAATAAAAGAATCTTGTAAATATCTGGATAATACACTACAAAATTACATGGTTTTTGTTGAATATCCTTGTCATAAACAGTAATATCTCGTAGAAACTCTATTCCTTTTCTCAAGGTAACTTGCCGATGGCCCTGTTGGTTGATACGTATGATGGCTTCAAGTTTCCAGTCAGAAAAATATATATTTCCTGCAAGCAAAGCTCAAGTTATTATGCAGATTTAAATATATAAACAATTCACAACACTCATTGTAAATATATATATATATATATATTACCTCGATATGCAACAATTCCAAAGGGATGTGCAATAGAAACTCCAGTTATTGTTTTTACATCTCCTCCATCAAAATTAGAATGCTGTATCCTGTTTGTAAGAAAAAATTAATAAATTAATCTTGGAAGAGGGTTAACTTAATCATATATAAATATGAAATTTAAAAAAAAAATCCCACTCAAGTACTTGGACACAATATAAAGAACAAGAGTCTGACCTGTCAAAATAGGCATCTACCCAGAACAGTCTGTCTGTGTGGAAGTCAATACTGAGTCCATTAGGCCAGCCTAGCTCATGTTGCCTGATCTTTGTCATGTTAGTGCCATCCCCATACGTCCTCGCAATATAAGGACTCTGCATGGTGTTTTTCATCCAGTCAGAGAAAAATAACCACCTACAGTGTAAAATAAAATTACCTTTATCATGTATACTACTGTATGCAGTCATGTGAACAAATTCAAAGTAATAAATGGTCGAAAAGACATTACAATAACTAGCATTACCCTTTAAGTGGGTGGACCACCACAGATCGGGGTTTGCCAGTCCCTGACATCAGAACTAGTGTCTCATTAGGGGACTTAAGTCTGAGGACTGACAAAGTACCCTGGAAGAAATCAGTGAAGTAGAGGTTCTTAGAGATCCAGTCTACACTCAATCCTTCAACAGAGCGGACTTTCTTTACAGTTAAAGCTGATGGTCCTACAATTATACACAGCAAAATATTAAATCAACTATACAACAGGAAATAAGAAAAAATCAATTATCTAATAGAAAAAAAACAATGCACCACTAAGTTAATTAGAATTAAACTTCATAAAGAAAGTTTTATACAAGATAAGTCCCTGTTGAGTTTGATAGCAATTTTTCTGATGGATAATAGTTGACTCAATATGACCTACTTAGCCCCAACCTGGGTCTGCAACCTGGATACTGGGTATTATGAATTTCAAAATTTTGGTAGAAGGTTATTATCATGAAAACAATTTGCCTTCTAGATGTTCTTGAGCAAAGAAGACTTCAAAAGTTCTATTTTTAATACTAGGAAATGACTAATTTTCATGGGGTTTAATTTTCATTGATTTCATGGTATGTAGAGACTCATGAATTCACGCCCCCAGGAAATGTTAAAATTCTAAACAACAGTATAAAGTCTATCCTTCACCCACAAAATCAAATCCACTCACACCAATATTTCTTCCTCAAATTGTGAAAATTTGACCCCAGGAAAATAAGTGATTTAACAGTATATGGCAAACATAGCCCCACTGTGTAGCCTGAACTCTGAACCCAGCTGGGACATTATTTTCACAATTTTGGTAGAGGGTATCTGTTTATTATAACCATGCAAAAAGTTTGCTTGCCAGAAGTCCATGAATAAGGAAGATGAATTGGTTGAAATTAGTTCAACCAATTCAGTAAAGATGCTAAATACATTCCAAGTTTACAAGCCATGCATGATAGATGAGAACCCACAGCACTAGGTCAACTGAAGTAACTATGGTAACCAAAAAATTTAGCTTATTTCTAGAAATAAAGTCATCATTATCATATGTGGAATCTGTTGTCTGACTGGTAATCCATTTCAAGATGCATTATTTATACAAGTTTTCTACAGCCATTCCTACCGGTAATTTTTACTTGGGAATGATTTTCCCCCAAACATTTACTTTGTCATTCAAATGCATTATCCATAAAATGAAGGATGCTAACATCTCTACATTAATACTTAAATAAACTACATCAGCTGAAACTTCTCATCCCAACATCAATGCTTCATGTAGAGCTTATCTTTCAAAAACTTTGTGCAAGTCAAATTAAGAGAGCATGATTTATCCTATCTAAATTTGCATCTGTTAATACTGAATTTCATACTCATAGATCCATCAACTTTAGCTTCCATGATGGCAAAATTTCTGATGTCAGAGAAGTACACCATTTTGTCTTCGGCATCATAGTCCAGTGCCACATAGTTGACCCCCAGGTGACCCGTGTCTTTGGCGAATAACTGAGGGATAGCATCCACCGCAGAGGCAGCATCAGTGGGCGGGGTCAGGGAAATCCCCCTCACAGAGTACTTGGCAGCAAAGAGCAGGAAATCATTAATTTCTAAAAACACAAAGCAAACCAAATTAAACATCATTGTGAAAAGAAAGAGTGTCTAAAGAAAGGACAGATCCAAGTACTGTAGGTTCCTTACAATATGCAAATACTAAAGTGACTCATTGATTCAAATCAAGAGAACATGAATTCACAAGTGGATAAGAGTTTTTATATGTATTTCTGCATATAAAAATAAAAACAGATAATTTTATTTTGTGAGTTGTCCCTTCTGTATATTTAGAAATCTAGAGGAATCAACAGAAAGAGAAAACTAAAATTCTGCATTCCTTTAGTTTTTCAGACCTTTTTTTCTGTGCTTTATCTATTGAATCTTACATGTATCATTAGTATCCTTACTTGTACAATTAATGCCATTGCTTGAAAGTTCGTATCCTATAGAGCATAAACATTTATATCCCAGACCATCATTCTCCATAACATGTGTAAGGACACACATCTGTTCACATTTGTTCTCAGAGCAAGGATCTGAAAAAATTCAAATTACTCTGGTTATGGTTAAAAATCAAGAATAAAGGTTTTTGTAAAGAAATAGCTTTATACACATTCTGAAAATCATATAATAGTAAATGCACTAACAAGTTTAGCAGATATTTCTTACATGCAAAGTTGTTTAAGTATCAGATCTAATGTCTATAAAAAGATAAGAAAATTAAGTGTACTGAATTCTGACTTTTTCTGTCTTTTTGGTGCTGGATAGATTGATGGAACACTCGAATGCTGCGGATTCGTTTATTTTTCTGATCATGGAAAATCTGTCGTGGATCCTCGTCTCCATATTTATCCACTTTCATCACCCCCATCTTTGTATCATCAGCCCAGTATAACTGGTCTTCAAACCGAGTCAGACTGATAGCATTGGGAATCTGTATACCACCAGATAATACGGTGAATCTACAACAAATATCCATGTCAACTCCAATATTGTCTCCTTTTCCTTGTCCGTGCATTCCTAATACATAGTTTTAAATATTAAAAAAATTATTTTCAAATCTGGGACTTGGGATATTCAACATCAGATATCTTACTGCAATATGGATGGTTGATAATTACAATAACGATAATGAAATGAATTACCTTTAGTGCCAAAAAGATTAAATTTTCTTACCTAAATTTTCCATTGTAGTCAACTGTTTGGATGTGATCTAATCGTCTGTCCGTCCAGAAAATTCTTTTGTTGACAGCATCTACAGCCATGCTGGAGGGAGCTATGATATCTGTGTCCACCAACAAATACCTCTTATTGCCATCCATGTAAGAACGTTCAATTCTAGTGTTATGACGAGGTTTTCTACCATAGTCTGAGAAAAACAGATACCTGAAAAGTTTTTGAGTTTATATGAAGTACGGTATTACTAAATGCAGTATATCATCTATAAAAACATTCAATGCTATTTACCCATCTCTATACAATGATATAAAGTTTTGCTTGGCAGTAAATAATTAAGAATTACTGATATCCTTTTTACCCAGTGAGAGGATCAATAGCTAAAGCCCTGGGATCTTGTATGTCGTCACTGATGATATTTCTCTGAACTTGAGATTTAAAATCAACTACATCTATAACTTTGGCACGCTGATCAACAATATATAAGTTCTGAGCAATCCAGTCATATGCTATACAGTGTGGTCTGTACAGATCATTCAGTTGTATTTCTCGTTGGGGGCCATTATTTCTCAGATCTTTAGTGAAAATCTATTAACAAAACATGAAACAATTTTGTAAATGTTTACAGTTCAAAAAATCACAATCAATAACTAATATAAAAATTTGAAAAAATGAACTGAACATCTTCGAAAGATTAAAAATAACAAAAAAAAAGATGCACTGCACCTTTTTGGACTTTTCGTCAATCCAGAACATTTTGTTGTTATAAACATCAAAGTCCATGTCTTCCACCGAAGCGTTGATGACCACTTTATGATCCCCACCGTCAGCATTCATACCGAAAATATGATCCTCCATAGCCACATACACCCTCATAGAGGCCCCTGTCAAAGACATCAAAAACAAATTAACTTAAATGATTGTATAAAGGTAAGGTTGAAATCATATCTTCAGTAGTAAATCTTTGCAAAGACTTATTTAAATACTGCTCTTCTTGTTTTAAATGACAGAGCACTGACTATACAAGACATCGCTGTAAGTCAATATTTCTAAGTTATAAAAAGCCTTCTTCATTTACCAGCTATAGAAATAAAATTCTAAATACCATCCTTCATAGCAAAACTTAAAAATTCTATGATATAATGATATAAGCTATAGTCATCTTGGCGTATAACGACAGAGAAATCTTACGTGGTGAAGTTGATCTACAGGATTTCTTGCCATTCAGTATATAACCAGGATAACATCCACAGGTGTAGTAGCCATCAAAATTCTTACATTTCTGGTCACATGATCCCCAAGCTTCACACTCGTTATAATCTGTCATCAATATAATACAGAAGCTTGAGTTTAGATAAGAGAGGATAACTCTTATGGAGTTTAAGATGATGGTCACAGTCCAAAATTTGGATTATAAGCTGACCAACATGTAAACCATGGAATTAAGTTTTTGTTAACTATTATAACAACCTAACTTTTAATTGATTAACTATTTATGGAGTTCAAATAATGTACAGCAATTAATGTTTGCTAGGTATAATATGCTGAGGAAAACATGCGGACTTAAAAAATAATATTGTCAAAGTATCTGACCCAAAACAGCCTCAGATTCAATGATATTGAATGCATAAGAGATATGTATGGGCTGAATACTCAGGATATTTGGACATATTCATGTTTTAGTATCAGTATGTAAGATTGGAGCATGCCCTAGTAATTATGACCTTACGCTCTCCTTCAAGAGTTATCCCCCTTTGCTTTTAATCATTAAATATCAATTCTTTAAAAATCTATCAGGTAAAAAGCTAGGTTTTTTTTTTCATCATTTTTCTTTTCCTAATGATTGAATACATCTTTCCACCACAGCATTTATTGATATTTTTAGTAATAATTTTTTTATTTTTAAAAATTTGCTTGTCCCCATAGACCTCAATGCAATCTTGTTGTATTAATTACTGCTTAGGTACTGGCAATTACATTTGAAAACTTCTCTTGATAAATCCTTTTCTACTCTAAAATGCTTTGAATTAATATCAGAGTATTTATAGATGATGAATATTTAATGTTAGAAAAGTAGGTCTAATATAGGTCAGATACCTTTAAGGGGACTTCTCTTGGAAGAAAAGTTCATGATCATATTATTATTTCACATATCTTTTTTGAAGCTATTTTTTCAATTATTTTTTTCTTTTAAAGTTAAATATAAAATTGTATTTCCTTAGACAAAAAAAAATACAATAATTAAATCCCTGTGAATTCAGTTTTTGTGATCTTAAAGCTGTTTACCTATACAAGTTCTGTTATCTCTGGGGTCTATTTGATAGCCAGTGTTGCAGAAGCACATCCCTCCAGTGGGCGTCGCCTGGCATCTGTACTCACATGACAGCTGATGGCAGTACGTTCTACCTGAATAAACAGTTAATATCAAATTCCTAACAAATTCATCTTTCTCTGGATACAAATGCATCATCAAATATAAATTTAACTCTCTAGTAATTTTTGCATGATGTATGCATTGTGTTTCTAATTTTCATAATTAGAATAAGAAAATTACTACACCTGGATTACCACCATTAAGAAACATGAAAACAAGGTACAATGTTCATTGCATAATTCATGCCTTTAATTCACAGCTTCGCTATATTACAGGAAAATAAGAGTAACCACATTTAAACTAAACAAAATTAATTTGAACCTTCAAAATTTCAGGAAATGATTTGGCAAACCCACAATATGATCATTGGCTTAAAGGACCTCACTTGCAAGACCATAACAAAATGAACCAAGGTCTGCGAAACAGAAATATCACCAGAGTTACCTTGCTCTTACTGAGAATGAATTCCAAAAAATAATTCTATATTATCTGGGTTCTCGTTTTCTTGCACAATTTTAACTGATGTTACATTAAGATTTGATGTCAAATTAAGGAATGCCTCGTTAGGCTAAGAATGTGTAAAAATTCATTGCACCATAGCATGTTATTCATGTGAAGACTACTACCTATATTAAAAATGGAAAACTTTTTGAGTCCTAGTAGTGTCCTACCCTGACAGTTTGTAACAAAGGCAATCATTCTCCAATCACAAATAAAAGTTTGACATAAAAGACACTTCTGCACCCTAATCTTTAATGGATTTTTTAATCATGAAAATCAACTTTTATCAACACGAAACATGAGAGAGGTAAAGATGAACACTGAGATGAATAGTTTAAATACATCCTACATATGCCAGCTGTTTCCACATTTCTCTGATCAATGATTCAACTAAGGACACACAATATTACCATTTTTGTTGAATATGATATGCAGTTGGTTATAACATGTGCATCCTTTCATATCTGAAAATTGGGGAAAACATAATTCCTGTGCATACAGCAAAAAATTTGACTATACATTATGGTAAATGCTTATTGAATAATATTGTGAAAATTATGTGAATTTTCAAGCACAAGAATTTGTATGCCATACATTGAATGTTGTCTTCAAACCCCCCATCCCCATCCCCTTTAGGCCCTGTTTAAATATTAAACAAGAGATGTTGGTGAAACACTTATGCCCCCCCCCCCCCCCAAATAATTTGAATTTTTGTAAGTCCAAAGGGCATAACTCTTGTCAAAAATTGCTCGATCGTACCCAAAACAGATATTGACCTAGATATTCTTATGATAAATCTGTATACCAAATTTCATTTTAGAATGTGCAACCTCTGCGAAGAAAATGAATGGACACTGCATATAATTGGAATTTTCCCAAGTCCAAGCGGCATGACTCCATCAAAAATTGCTCGATCGTTCCCAAAACAGAACTTGACCTAAATATTCTCATGATAAATCTGTATACCAAATGTCATTTCAGTATGTGCAACCTCTGCGAAGAAAATGAATGGAAACTGTTGATGGACCGATCAACAAACCGACCGACCGACAGCAGGAAAGCAATATGCCCTCCCTTCTTCAAAGAAGGGCATAATAAGTTATTTTTCAAGACTTTTTCCCCAAAATTTAGGTTGGTAGTGCAATAAAAAAAATTATCAATGAAAAAACAAACATTTACCCCAGATTTATAATTAACCTCCCTTTTTTAAAAAAAATTCCTCTTTCAACATTTTCAAGCATATTTATATTAATCTTGATTCCTTCAAAATATATCACGTACTGGAGTCCGTTTTACAAAAGAACTTACGACAAAGACCAATAATTTTAGTTGTTCTAACATCTTACCTAACCAATATTTTAGATAAGAATTTATCTCTGAAGCTTTTTTCCAAGATCTTAAAAAGTTAAAATATAAAGGATTTCAAATCAATGTAAAGTAGAGAAAAATTCGCAAAAACATATTTTGGTTTTAAGTCGTAAATTCTTTTGTAAAACGGGGCCCTGATTACCACACTGATAAGTTAAACTTATTGACCTGATCCACAACCCAGTTTTTAGTCAAATAACTATCAGTCTAATAAATTCAATGTTTATAAATGTTGCATAATTAAGGTGACAAATCACGTAATAATAATAATAAATAAATAATGAATAAAACATTTGTATAGCGCCCTATTTAATAAAAATTACTCTAAGGTGCTTAACAATACGATTATAGTAAAATAAGTATAGTATAGTACTGAATAATATGACTGAAGGATTGGATATCAAAGTCACAGATGTCATGTCAAATGGAGCATAACTAATGTAATCAGTCATCTGAGGCTGAAATTCATGAGATAGTCGAGCCACCTTAAGCAGTAGCTACTGGTAGACACGGTATCATTGAGATGATGACCATCTTAAAAGACCCTGCTTGCAGTAAAGGGATGTAAAGGACTTGTGAAAGTGTTTGTCTCTGTCCTAAGCATAAACAAAAAATTGAGTTTTACCTTTTTTTCTAGTAAATAAGGAGCAGTGAAAAAAAGAACCTTTTTTAAATACTGATTAAATACAAAATTTTACTGATATAATGACCACCAGAAATATGACACTGATTTTTGTTTGTTCTTAACTTGAACATTAATTTATACCTGTGATAATATAAAATACATGTAACTGAATAAAAATTAAAATCAATTTTAAAAATCCTCTAGAAAAGAAATGTTAAGAAGATTTTTAAATGAGGCAATAAAGTAAAATCAATGTTTTTGCAAAAATGCATCCAAGGGCACTCTTTGAGTGAAGTATGAGCAACGCTGGTCCCAGGGTAGAAAAAAATAAACTCCAGACTAGGATTTTACACAAAGGTCTACTTTAATTTTGAATTCTGACCTTTTTACAAAGAGGTCTGCTTTGACCTTAACCTTTGAATTAGAAACTTGGTTCATGGTCACTGTGCACATTGTACTCACAGGCACTCTTTGGTTGAAGTATGATCCATACAAAGGGAAGAGAAATACTCAAAAGGATTTTACACAGAGGTCTGCTTTGACCCACATCTTTACTAACATGCACTCTTCAGGTGAAGTATGATGGGGCCAAGGGGAGAGAAAACATGCTCAC